CTGTTGATTTGGCTTGTTGATGTGATGGCAGGTATGTGCTGTGAATCAGATTCTGGATTTGGTTGCCTGCGATCACACATATACGCATTATCGTGAGAGACCCCAGTGAGACCATAAAAAATGATCGTCACATACTTAACCCTTATATATGTATACATGGGTATACTTGGGATGAATGTTTGCATGGGTTGAAGAGCACCCACATTAGAGACCCATTAAGAAGCTAAGACTGAGGGGCTTAAAGGAGGTCTCTCCTTTTTTTCTTGTCTCTTGCTTTTTGGTGATTTTCTTAGTCGGACGTTTGGTCCTGGGCCGGGATTCGAGGTCCTTGTACAAGACATCCCAAGCCCTAGGCTCTGCAGAGGAGGGGTTTTCCCTCGCGAAGAGCCTATTTGATTTGCCTACCGTGACACTCAGGTCGAGAGCTTGAGGTGCCTCGGCGGCTGCACGACTATTCCTTCAGTCGTGCAATGTCGTGAAGGGCTAGGCCCTCACGACACTTCAAGTCTGACACTTGAGTGTCATAAGCGGTACTCGAATCCACGAGGGATCGCTTGATTATGGGCACTACATAGTACGCCATCGTTGCGACTGATTGTGTACGCCTGCATTGCAAGTCGATATGAATATGCCCTGCGTCCGCGCAGTTTTATACTAAGTTGAGCGCGCGACGCTTATCCGATTTCCGCATTGGAAAGTTATGGGTTGGCTACCGAGGGGCTAGGAGCGTTGTCGCGTTGTTGGTATTGTGTCGTTTCGTATATATGTTGTTTTGTGTGTATGAGTGTTCGTAAAGTGGAGTGTGCGTGGTGTGTGGGATGCGTCCTAGTCGACCGACGATGAGTCGCGCTTGGGACCTCAGCCCCCCCAAGATGTCGGTTCACGTGCGAGTCCGATAGAGGCGTATTACCGCGTGTAAACCCTATGCTACAGCGAACGAGAAACGCCCTCGGCTGGTCCACCTCTGCGATTGCAACTGATTAGCTTTCGTACTGTAGACTGGTAGCTCGGCGGGGATACGCCCACCGAAGGAAGGTGACAACTCCCGTAAGGTGTAGGTAAGTCGTGCCTCGCGTAGGCCCTATCCTGTTGTAGGGGCTCGCGAGAGGTATGGTTGGCGCACCCGGCCGGAGCGGCTTGCGGAAACTCCATGTATAGTGCGACGAAGGGTTATGAAAACCAACTCCTGCGTGACGCGGCCGGGAGGGTCCTGCGCTGCCCCCATGCGGTGCCGGACTGATGCGCCCGACAGGTGGCACCGTTGCCGGGGATAACGGAAAGCCTATCGTTGTCCCTGGTGGAACGACATCCGGGTATGAGAAGTGAATAAGAAAAGGCATAAAGGAGTGATGAGAAGGTAATGATAGAATATATGAATGACTAAGTGTAGGTGAGGAAATTTACCTACCCAAGTAGAGGAAGTATGAGGGACGATCGTGTTAGCAGTGGGTAAAGTAAGTACTAAGGGTTAGGTAGGACGAACGGAATAGACCGGTCAAGGTATAATGTTGAATAAGGGGATGTACTTGTTTTCTTTTGCCAGGGAACTTAAAAAGAAAAGGCTGTCAAGATGGTTGAGACTGGTGGCGCATCAGTTGTTCCCAAGAAGGGCCTGACACTCGATGACCTCATCGCGACCATCGACCGACATGAAAGAAACCCGAGTAACATCCCAAAGGTCGATACTCTCCATTTCTGTGGGGAGAGAGTCTCAGAATGGCTAGAGCGGGTGGAACAAGCTTTGGTCGGGCGGCCGGATGTTGTAAAGTTTCAACGCATCCTTCAGTATGTCCTCCACAGCTACCATCAAGAGGTGAAGAAAGTCATAGATGCGGCTCAAGGTAGCTGGGAGAGGTTCAAGGAGGGGATGCAAAGGAAATACCGCCTGGGAGACGGGTTGTTGACTACCACGGACCTTGAAGCGATGAACAA